ATCTCTTGTTTTTCTCCTAGTTTAACTCTTTTCACGCGGTTATCGTGCACACTATAGAATTTGCTTCTGTTCATAATGCAGACAACCACCCAGCCCTTAGCTCTTCGATTATGGTAGAATTTTTTGCGAAAAATCGTAAAAAGTGCGTTTTTCTTTACCTTTTTCTGTTCCAGTGCTTTCGCATCGACTTTTTTCCAGCTTGGGCGATTGTTGCTCAGAACAATAAGCGCAACAATCCAGACAACGTCCCAGGAAACAGGAGCGTCAATGCGGGGGAATTTAAAGGACGCGTCAAAAATCAACCCCCCCCCCCCCTCCCGTGTTGCGAATTGCTGGTCCTGAAACGAAAACTTGCACTCTGAAAAGCCGCCAAATGAAAAATTTCAATTCTTATTACAGCGTTTTTATCCGGTTTACAGCAGTTTCTTTTGCTTTTTATATCTGTTTTACTCATTTTCTCTTCTCTGATCTTCTTCAAACAACCTTCACTATTTATGACGTCAGATGTCCAAACAACCTTCACTTTTGGCGCCCTGTCTCTAGACTATCAAAGGTATGGTAGCAATTTTCATTGCGCTCAAAAAGTTGGTTCTGAAAATGAATTATCTTGATCAGAATTTAAAAACCAAAAAACGTGCATCAATTATGAGACAATCTAATACTAGGTTGTAAAGAAAGTTCCGAGGCACTTTTGGAAAATTCATTTCCAAACGCATTTTTTCGGCGCTCGGTCGGACTTTAACATCGGTTTATACTGTTCAGTAGAATGAAGCCTAAAGTTTTCACTAGCCTTCTGATTTTATCGATGCCAGGGCGTGACTGATTTACACATCAAGAAAAAAAACCTTTTTAACCATAAAAATTTCACAATTTTTCTTACTGCCATTTTTGTGCAATTCAAACAATTTCGTCCAAATCATGGGTGATCTGATTGAGTCTCTGTTGACTACTGAACCGCAGCTGCACTCGAGTTTTGCGACTTGTCAGAAATTACAAGCTGTCGAACTTGCCTCTGACTGCATCTTTTTTCGCAGCTGGCGTCGCATCTTCGGGGATCGCCGGTATGTCAAGAGGCGCGATATTTATTGCCAGATGGACACCATAGCGCATTGTAAGTGTTTTATAACATTCCAAAAGTATTTGAAATTTGAAAGGAGATATATTAGGTAGTTGCATAAGTTGTTCAATCTTAATATTTTGGATTCAATTCAGAACATCACTTTTGAAGGTCAAAAACCCTTAAAAATGCGACTAAGAATTCGTAGATATTTCGTTCCGTTTTTCAACAAAAGCCACCAAACTCGGCTAGTGGTAACCTCAGATAGAGAGTAAGCTAATGCACTTTATCCGGTACTTTTTGAACACTCGCATAGCACTAGGCGGGAGTTTTGAGCTAGTGACAGCCAGAGAAATCGCGCCTCTTGACCGTCTCCCGGATGATCGCCACGCCTGGATAATGGGTCCAAATGATGTGCAAGTCATTACCCCACCAATGTTGCCAGTAGTCAAAGTTGGTCCTTTCTGTGCAGAAATAGAAGAAAGTCACTTACTCGAAATATGGTGCATTTTTAGAGACAAAAAAATGACTGATTTTCCAAACTTTCTGGAAAAACTTTCTTTGCATGTGGTTGTTCAAAGGCTTAAATAATCTCCATAACAGCCCTAGCAGACTTCTATATAATTGCAGCATTTGAGCTCTCTAGCTTTCATCGTGTCTGAGATGATTCTGCACACAAACAGGCCACTTTTCGCGACGACCTTTTTCCCTTCTGCGCCTGCTGGTGGAAAGCAGTGAGATGCTGAAAAGCCAGCAAGACAAAGTATGTTGTGGACAAAATTATCTTCGCAATGAAGTTTGTAGCTTCAAAAAAGAATCAATCTGCTTGAAGTTAAAACCAAAAAAGATCTCGCAGGTGCCCGGGAACTTTCTTTACGCCTGATATTTGATTTCCCCTGAAAGTCTTTCGCTATGACGCCCTCCTCTGGTGCTCTACGCAAAGCTTGCGTGTTTAAGGAAGAACATCGTATGGAATTCGTGAACAGCCGATGCTTCCTTACTCGCTATGCCTTTGATAGAAAACAGAGACTAATAGCAGTACCTTCTCTGAAAGAATATGATCTAGCACTATGAGTAGGTACAAATGTGCTGAAGTAAAAAAGTTCTTACAGTAAATTTCGACCCGCTTTAGGCGGAAATTGGACTGGCGGGAGTCCGCCTCGCAACAGCTCGCGCCGTTTCGCAGCTGCAGTATATCCTATCGTGCTGACAACCCATGTCTGCGTCTCTTCAATCTCCCTAGTCTTTGCTCGGCAAAATGCCAGCGCTATGCGCTCGCGAAGCCTCCAGCGATGCGCATGCGCTGCTCCACGTAAGAAGTCTCGCCTAATCCGGGATGAAATCGACTGTACAGTAAGTTTCGACCCGCTTTAGGCGGAAATTGGATTAGCGGGAGCCGCCTCGCAACAGTTCGCGCCGTTCCGCAGATACAGTCATTTCCTGCTGAGAGCTCACAGCCAGGGTCTCTTCATTCTCCTTAGTCCTTGCTTGGCAAAATGCCACCGCTATGCGCTCGCGAAGCCTCCTGCGATGCGCATGCGCTGCTCCACGTTAAATCTTTCGCATAATGGGATGAAACCGACTGTACAAGAGATGGACTTGGTCGAAGTGGCGTTTCCATACATAATGTATACTATCTTATAGAGCCTATCTTATAGTATGCTGATTTCAAAACTACTTTTTATCTGCAAAGCTCTTCTGGGAGGGGATATATGGCAATTTTTAGTGTAGAGTCGAAAGCGCCGCTACAATAAAATTTATGAGGACCTTAGTCCGTGAGCTCAGATGGGGCCATGATTACTACATAGGCATTTTATAGAACAAAAACCAATCCAATAAACTTATGTCAGTCATTACTCCTTCCAAACACCGGAAAGACCTCAGCATTTATTTTTATCTCAGTCAAATCAGTGGATTTTTATCTCAAAAAATCCTGAACTCCCCTCCCAGAAGCGCTTTGCAGATTTAAATAGCAAATTTGGAATCAGCGTTCCATGCTCTATAACATAGTATACATCACATAAGCGCCACCTCGACCAAGTATCCTTCCCTTATTAATGAGGACTGTAAAACTTAAGTGTACAAATTTGAGCAACACAATACAGTGCTGGACATAATTATACAGCCACTCTAGAAATCGTCGTAATTTTTGTTCTTGTCAATGAATCTGTCTGAAACTTTGCTGTATTGTGCGCATGTCAACCTACCATAACCCCTCAAAACGGCTTCCAGTCTTGTTGAGTTTGGACGGAGAAAAACGAAAAAAAATCGAAAAAGCCCTCTTTGAAAGCTGGACAAAATTATACAGCCACCTGGTTTTTCTAATCATTATCGCATTCGTTGACTCTCAAATTTTTTTGTACAATTACATCCCAAAATATGAAACATTTGCGACACTTACGGCCTGTCTTCCTACTCAAATAGAAGCAATCGCTGCATTTCTTGCTTTTAAAAGCATTAAAAGTCAATCTCCTTCAACAAACAACTGCTTTAGAGAGTTTTCAAGCTCTTGTTCATTCCAAATGATTTTTGGAATCTACTGACCCTTCTGGATAGATGAGGTGAAGAGCGCTTTCGTAAACTCTGCGTAATCGCTGATTTTGACAAACAGATTCCAACCTCACCATAGGGTTGACGCACTTTTGCACCACGAAACTCGATTTTCAAGCGACAGAAAATACTGTAATGTAGCCATTACGACAGCCATACAACAGTGAACTCGTGTGCATGACTGGGAAGAAATTTCGGGACTGAGCACTCTATTCAGCCGCAGTTGACATTCACTGAATGTTGAGTGGAGCACCCTGTACAATCAAAGCCAACTCAGATCACGAGATAAAACCGGAGACGCTTAAAACTTCAAAATCTTAGCTAATCTCATTCATCAGGTGAAATATGACATGAAACACAGACGGAAATAAGGAGATCTAGGGTTATATCGAATCTTCCGCTCGCAGGGAATTTTTGTGGAAAGTATTCCAGGTCTAAATCGCTACCGCATCATTAGGAAAAATCTGAAAGTTGTTGCGAAAGCTGTATCCCCATGTAGACAATGTGATAAATCAAGTTCAGCACTTTTTGGACATTGCAAACTGAGTTTTGTGGTTTAAAAGCGTTCCAAGCCTATGTTGAGGATGGAGTCTGTCCGTCAAAATCAGCGATTACGCAGAGTTTACGAAAGCGCTCTTCACCTCATCTATCCAGAAGGGTCAGTAGATTCCAAAAATCATTTGGAATGAACAAGAGCTTGAAAACTCTCTAAAGCAGTTGTTTGTTGAAGGAGATTGACTTTTAATGCTTTTAAAAGCAAGAAATGCAGCGATTGCTTCTATTTGAGTAGGAAGACAGGCCGTAAGTGTCGCAAATGTTTCATATTTTGGGATGTAATTGTACAAAAAAATTTGAGAGTCAACGAATGCGATAATGATTAGAAAAACCAGGTGGCTGTATAATTTTGTCCAGCTTTCAAAGAGGGCTTTTTCGATTTTTTTTCGTTTTTCTCCGTCCAAACTCAACAAGACTGGAAGCCGTTTTGAGGGGTTATGGTAGGTTGACATGCGCAAATACAGCAAAGTTTCAGACAGATTCGTTGACAAGAGCAAAAATTACGACGATTTCTAGAGTGGCTGTATAATTATGTCCAGCACTGTATGTTTTGTTGGATAACATTCCGTACATTAGTGTTTTGACTTGGAGTGCTAATTTATGTGCTGCACTTCTATCATTTCATGGCACGTGAGCAGCCAACACATGAGTCTCGGCATTCGATCACAAAAGATGGCAAGACGAATGATGGAGATAGGCTAACTCATTCTCCATGTAAATTCGCTCACATAGAATGGCACGACAGATGACGAATACTACCTTATTCTACTAACCTATCCGAGACGCAAATCCCTAGAGACTTCACCGATGTCACTCAAAGCGTATACAGAAAAAATTTGAACGAGTTTACTCTACAACTGCTTCTAACATCACAACTTGACTCGCGCATAACAAAAAAAGAGAAAGCCTTTTGGGATTTTGAGGAGAAAACAACGAAAACATATCGCATACTGGCAAGCTACCTCACATGAACATAACACTATCGGCAGTACTTCAATAAATGATTCGTTCTTCACAACAAAACGAGTACGTAAAGCAATACTAAAATATACAACAACATGTAGATGTCGGGAGCGATTAGATATATGTACAAAGATATCTATGTAGCTAGTACGAGCTTCTGCTGAGAAAGATATAGCGATTAGCGCGGTTACGAAATGAGAGAGTTGAGGTGAAAATAGCTGAGAAAAATCAGCCATGAATCAAGCCGTCATGGCGGCAACGTTAGCGGATGAGATGAGACGAGAGCTGAGTGAAGAAGAGAATAGCCTAGCTGCTCTAGGAATGGTGTTCTTGAACTGGAGACGATCACTGTCGAAAGACAGTAGCTGCAATGCTGATCACCACCGTCATGGTGGCCATGACGCTGCATGTCGAACATCTGCAAATCCTCGATTAGTGTCTTGTCATCTTATTTACAATTTCTCGCCTATAATCAAGCATAAATTGCTCCTCTAGAGAAAACCGAATTCAACTTCGAAATCGATAACGAATTCGATTTTTTAGACATTTTGCGTGAGCATGCAAATTATGAATATGCTCTACGTTATCTGGGATGATAAAAAATCTAGTTCTGTTGAACCTCAGATTCCCCCCCCCTGCATAGATTTATAACTTCATCTACTATTACATCTTCAAGCTGTTTCTGCAGGCCGTACATGTGCGCGTTTCAAAAACACTTTTTTTCATACTAACAAATCTTAACGTCCACAGCTCAGCCACTTAAAAAGATAAATTCTCTGGCCGGAATTTTGAGAAATCTCTAAACTAGAACGTGCAGGAGTTACCCCAAAAAACTTTTCGGAGGGTGCCACAATTCATTCAAAAAAATTCTTTTCCCCTCCCCCGCCCCCCCCTCCCCTCTCGGCAGAAAATTCCTCGAACCACCGTTGATAGACAGACGTAGAAGCTTTCTTCAATGATTACAATGACATTTGGAGAAATTCAATACATGTACGATCAACCATAAGCGCATATGCATCAGCAATGCTTCCGCATGAGAATTTTTTTCTTCATTAAAAAAGTACAAATAGGGTGCACTTACGTGAGTTGTCCTTTATGACATTTCTTTTCACAGACTTCTCCACCATAGCCCTCCTTGCATAAGCATCTAAAAAAATCATTGATCAATTCTGGTCGAAATAATCAAAAGAACTACTGCTGCAGTGAGAAAGTAAATAGAGACAAACAAGTAGTGGCGTAGCAAGAATTTCCGTTCGTGAAGAGGCGATAAAAAATTTTTTGTTGTTTTTTAAGAAGGGTTTTTTTTTGAAATTTCAAGATGCGTTAGTCACGCACTCCAAAAGATTTTTTGGCATGCCTCACAGAGTTTTTGTGGCCCATAACCCCAAATTTGCAGAAAAAGGGACGCGGCATGTGAGTGAGTTTCAATAATTTTGCGACCCATTCTCGGTGCCCTCCCCCCCCCCCTTCAGTACGTCATCGCATACAAGCGCTATAATTTTCGATCATTACATCATTATACAGGGTCGTCAAAAGTCTGGGAGCCTAACTTTGCAATATTTCAATTACAAAGGTACTAGTGGTTTTGATTCAAGATTTCATGCCACATAATGCTGCGGTCATCTACAAAATACACTTTTTCTAGCTGGAAATGGCTGCCATATGTTTTTGTAATACTGGATGTTACCAAACTAGTACTTTTGCAAAGCGAAAAAACCAGAATTTTTAGTATTTACAATTTTTGCATAGCTAGTGATGCTGTTAATATTTTACAACACTTCGATGCATACAATTTAGAAAAGGCTTGGCGCTATTGGATCTTAGTTTTGCTTTTGCCAGGAGGTGTTCTTGCATAAACGGAAAATAAAAGTTAGCGAATGTTACCTACGTGCCAGTGGAAATCCGTCTTCAGAAGAAATTTAAAAGCTATAGAAGCGCATCAGGCACTGGGACCAAAGCTATATTTTTGATACGTCTTTTAAATTAGAATCTATTGAAATTCGGCCATGGAAACACTTTCTATACTTTTTGAACGATATTTAAGTTTTTGTCGCGCAACTGTAGCCAAAATTCCGGTACGCGACGTATACATGCTTCTGATTAAAAATCCAATATTTTTATTCCTAAGCAAGCAAAAAATTCTTTTGGAAGTATGCTGTAGATAAAAGCTTGCACTATCGTGCTGCACGTTTGCCAAGGTGAAAGAAGCAGTTACTGTGAAGGTGTGGGGCAAAATTCATTACGACTACCTGCGTGGTGTGAAGGTGGACTTGCCAAGATTTTGTAAGGTTGCGTGGAAGCCAAAAGAGACAATTTTGCAATTCAAAAATTGGGCTGTATCTGCAATGGTTCGAATTAAGTGTGCGCCAAATATTTCGTTTCCAGGTACTCCCCTTCTCATTTGTACGAAAAAGTGCTAAGCTCCCAAACTTTTGACGCACCCTGTGAAAGCATATTCAATTGTTATAACTGGATTCTACTGAAACAATAGCATGGATAAAAAATCTTTGCTCTGTTGAATTTACAGCATAATCTAATGACACGATCTGAATAAATTTCTTGTCAATAGTCCACGTTTCAGAAGTTATGCGCAACGTATCCAAAATTTGATACTTCTCCCTCAATCCCAAACGCATGGAAAACAAACAGATTAGTTGCCATGATTTATAGCAACACTTCGCCGATACGCCTGTCAAGTCTATTCCTCGGCTCAAACAGAGCCGATGTATGGCCTCATCAATCAGGTCAAAGGAGAGAATTTATTTTTGCTTGGCTCTATGAATCTGTCATGCGTTTTTGACAGATATGCCATTTCAAAATGATAGCTCATGATGATAACCGATATTCTCAATCGTAACGAATATCAATGATGTGTTATCTTCGGGTACAATGGAGAATGCATACTTAGATGGAAGTATTTGGATGACTGATAGCGAGATGAGTTTAGCGTAATGCTTTCTAGAAGACCCTATCATGTAAAAAATTACCCATCCAGCAAAATTTACGTTTGGTACCTAAAAATGTTTAGCGGAGTTTTTTTTTTTCGTAAAATACCATATTCAGCTAAAGACCAACCGGAAAAATCCTGTCTTACAAATATGGTTTTATCTTTGAAAGCATAAGTAAGGCCCTTTTCTTCAATTGAAGTACAGTCGATTCATTTCATATGATCATGTGTGTCACTGCACACATCGTCCAACTTTGGCGTCCCCATCCTAGAATTGCAGTCGCAAACACGCAAGATTTTGGACATTTCTTATCTCTTACGTCACTTGAGGTGACTACTATCTAAGAAGGAAGGAAAACATTGGGAACATATCAGAAACACTCAACTGAAGGGTTGTGTCCTCCAAAAATTCTGGATGGGAACGCCAAAGGTGAACAGTGTGTGCAGTGACACACATGATCATATGAAATGAATCGACTGTACGCATGACTATTAAAAAAAACTCCGATGTTCAACATATGGAGAACTAGCATCGAGACCCATTATTAATGTGAGAAGCTGAACATGTATTACTTTTGACATTACGTAAGGCGCATGAAAAAGAAGTCATGCGCCATATGTTTGCTCTGTTGTAATTGTAGTAGTGATTAATGGGCGTGAAAATAAGTGTACATCAAGCCCCTGGAGCTCGCTCTCAAGATTATTAAAAAGCATGTGCTATGGATGTATGGGCCATCGCCGAAAAGTGGAAGAAGTCACTCGTACAATGGATTAAGTTTTCTTGCTAATATGTGCTACTCCTGTTTCTTCACCTCTCAATAAAATCCAATTATTCGGCCTACTTATACGCAACTGTGTTCAAGCAACGGAGAAAACCAAAAAAAATTCTAAGAAAAACAGTAGGTAGGCCCCATGACCGACCCAATCCTGGGACATTAGCGAAAATTCTACTCTTATTGAGTCACTTGGATATCATTTCTTTATATAACACTGTGCCATCCGCGCGATTGTTTGGAACAGTTTCAAATCTCGCAACCAAGCACCCTGTTTAAAAAAACACGATTGTTTTTCACCGCCACAAACAGATGATGACATAAAGATGACACTACTTTGGTAAATGTTCTCTCGGACCAATTTTTAAAAAATCGCAACTTTTTGCTCAGCTACAATCAACATATCAAAAAGGATATCATTTTTACATTCCTGAAATCAATTGGGAAACATCAAGGGACATGCGACTCATTCGTATGTCCGTTTGTTTCGGTAGAACTACGTATTGAAAGTTTCTATGGAAGTTTATCGAGAACTCAGGAACAGGTTATGTGGATGGGAGATTGTAAGGGCGATTTTACCAACTGCCATTAATGGCAGAAAAGTTCGTTCACCTTCAAAGACAAATTTTGAAATTGCCAGATGAAGTAAGTATCTATGTCAAATAGACATCCAATGCTAAATTCTGCATTTCAGTTTGCAATTTGCAATTCCAAACTTAAGGCCTGAAGAGAATATCGATGTAACTAACTACTGTCATCTTCAACATATTCTGATCTACTTATCACAATCTGTTGATTGTTGTGCAGTCAAAATTGATACAGCGGCTACAAGACTAAACTTAGATTCACTTCCTCGTTCCCAAAGGTGCTTTGAAATTATTCAAAAACAACTCTTGCTAGCCATGCATGAAAGTATTGTTCCTCAGCCGATCAGATTTGCAAGCATATTGGAAGGATACGTATAGTGAGAAATTTTCTCCATTGTAACGGAGCTCAAAAACATCCAAAATAATTACGACATACTTGTGATTTTGCAATTCGCCTCCGTTCATGCAGCCGATGATCTTGTCGCAGTTGTCGCCTTCGAAGTACTGAGTGCAAACACAGTGATCCACTTGATTGCGGAATCGTTTGTCTTGTCCTGAACGATTCATATATTGAAATCCTTTGAGTATAACGCCACACCACGATTAGCTCGTTTTTTATCGAATACCATAGTTTTCACAACTGTCTTGGCTAGATGCCAAACGAAGACACTATCTATAAGTTCTAGAAAAACGATTTGGCGTATGTTCGAAATCCTATGACAGAACAACCTTCATACCTTCATAAAAGCCAGGTGTTGTTACACTCAATTAGGCCCCTGTAAATCTAATTTATTTTTCACAACCGTTTGGAGATCAGTGGAGAAATTTTCTCTCTATGATTTACAAGATGAAGCACCTGACCAACAACGACAAGAACAGCCAGAAACAAAGTTTGAATCTCCCGCAAAACAAATTTGGAGTCTGCTCTAATTTTCAAGATTTGGGTTTCATTTGTAGAATTACCTACAAATTTCCATATAAAAATAGCATTTTGTTTTTAAAGCTTCCAAAGCTCCAGTGACGCCGGAAATTTTCTTCCTGTGTGGCCTGATTTGATCTGCCACCAAATCTGTATTACTGTTGTAAGCAAAACTTTCGAAGACTTGGCGAAAATGAGTTGTTCTATTTCTTGCACCGTCCAACAGAATCGCTTCGGCAGCCTTATGATTCCCTTTAAAACGAAAAATCTCGCATAATTTTACATAGATTCCTATATGGGTGCTTTTGAAAATTTGAAGCTTTTTCTGATAGTCATCGCATGCTTGAATTCTAATTCTCCTGCGAACGGAGCATCATACAAAATTTTTCTAGATTCAACTAGCAGCTCAAACTGTAGGAAAAGAATCTTTAGCAGCGCATACAGTCAAACCCCTCTCAGATGTTAGGAAAACCGCGCATAACATCTTCAATAGCACGACATGTGTATCCCATTCCGTCCGAATGAGCTTTTCATAACAATAACAACTCGTACAATCATTCAGCACAACATAATTTGAACAGCACAATGATGTGTTCTCAGTCCTATTTGTTGCCAAAATGGTGGCTATAAAAGCATAATGAATGGGGAATGTGTACAGCCCAAACATATAAACCAAGTATGAGCTGAATTGATTGCTTGGTAGTCAGTAGTTTGATACACCGGGAGTCTAGAGAGCATTATCCAGAAAGCCTAAACAAATTTTTTAATAATCAACCCGGGCCCCATGAGATATCATGTTGCTGAATTTTCGCATAAGATGTGGGCTCCAGGTATGGATTCTCGGAATTTTCTGTTAAGATGGTAAGTAATTCAACATGGGTAAAAAACGGAGAAGATCATGTAGCAGAATATAATCCTGGCTGCATAGATTTCATGAAAGTTTCAAAACACGTTCCTTTTAGAAATCACCTACTGATCTTTAAAGGCAGCGTCCAGGCAGATCTGGACCTATGGGGATTTTACGTGGAAAGTACTTTTAAGGCCCTGACTAAGGCACTGCCCAAGTGGCAGCGCAGGTAGTGCTCTAACGGCTGAGATAATCCCCTCGAAACTGGACCCCGCAATCGTATTCGCATGGATTCATGGCAGTTTCGCGCCAGGATCTACGCTTTGCGCCATGAATCCATGCGTGATACGATCGCGGGGTCCAGTTTCGAGGTGATTATCTCAGCCGTTAGAGCACTAACTGAGCTGCCGGTTGGGCAGTGGCTTAGTTAGAGCCCCAAAATTACTATCCACGTGGCATCCCCAGTGTTCAGACTTGCCTGGACGCTGCCTTTAACCTTGGTCGAAAGAACGTGGATACGCAAAAATTAGGAGTCCTGGTCACTACACAGACTCTCTTCAATAGTAGTTTTGAAGGAAGAAGAGTACGTGTGGATAGAAATGTACAGAAAAAAAATGTAGTTTCTGTCATATAACCTACCGAATTTCGTCTTTCGCCAGCATGCCAACCTTTCACAGTAGCGTCCATCCCAGGGAACCTTAAAAATGAAAAGATGAAAAAATCTTCATGGCAAACTTATACATATTGGTAAGATTGCTACAAACAGTTTCAAAATACCAAAGAAGCGAGAAAAAATGCGTCTCATACATTCTCATGAATACACAACTTCAGTGCAGGCTCCACTAAAAGTTCATGGCAACTAAGAAATTATCAAAATGGCAGGCACACTTGAAATATGAAGATGGAAATCTCAAAGCAAATGAATCATCGAAAAAATGAATTATCAATGGTCCCACCTCACAGATGCATTCAATCTCTTTTCTTCCAACGGCAAGTGTTCCACCATGCTGGCAAACATTCGCAGTACATCTGCAATATCCAATTTCTGAGCTTTACTTACTGCACAAACCCAAGGCAATTGAAACCAGGTAATTTATACGATGATTGAGAACTTACACTTTGCCATGGAGTGCATGTCCTTCGGGACAGCCTTCAAACTCGTTACAAATCGGTCCTTTCCATTTCGGCTCGCAAACGCATTTTCCGCCTACCATGTGGGCATGCACTGGAATGGAATTTTTATTGGGGATAGATTTCACTTGATTTGTATTGCACTATAAACAACATCGCCAGTAGGGATCACAAAACAACAAAATGCGTACTTTAATTTCCTTAGTCGAACAAAATATGCGAGAATCTTTGCCATATACAGACTGTTTTCGCTAAGGAAGCAAAGTCTACCAAGTTGATATTAATGTGTTGATGTAGCGACTATTTCTATTTTGACCTACACACAAGTCTTATTTAACCTGAAAATGCTCCAAAAATGTAGCAAAAGCTGGATCGTCTTAGACTTTGCTTGTCTTGTCAGCTTCATTGAAGCTTTACTTCGGAATTCTGAAGCTAGCTTGACTTCCCGATGTTTGTTACCTTGAGGTCACAAGAGGGTTTCGTGCCAGCAAAAATCGAATACTTCCGCAGAAGTGGGGAAGGTTGAAAATCCTATACACATCAGACTGAGGAGTGAATCCTGATTACAAAGTCTTGCCACATAGTAATTTTTCTTCGGAAGTTACGCCAAGTAGACGATAAAGGCTTTCTCATATCCCCAGATATTTCGCACTAGATCACGTCGGCACGAGGTGGCTGGTTGAAAATGCAATAAAAAAAACGAAGTCCCCCTTGATTTCTGCGGATTCTTACGAAGTTCCCTTCGACCCTAGGCCATAATCCCTAAAAAATCTCCAAATAACGAAACGTTGACTAAAAAAAACGTTGCAAATTTTGGCTTTTCGGCCACAAAAACGAAACTCCCTTTGCTTTTTGTCCAAAACGGTATCCAGCTTACTTATAAACCACCTGTGCGAGCCTTGCACTAGATGTTTAGCCCAACAAACTTAATGCCCTTGAAATCGGCATTCTCCGAAAACCACATATTTTTTGTAAACTAACAGCTATCAAAGCGCTATATTTTTCACCGTAATAATACACTGATGAAGACTGATTGGTAATGTTTTCATACTGTAAGTTAAAGCTAGCCCTATAGTCTGCTAAAGCTATTCGGACAATTATATAACACTGCTTACATGATTTTTTAGAGACGCCATATGTTATCTATTGGTGGCGGAACAGCGCAAATCTCCCTTGAGAATGGTGACAATCGAAGAAATTTTCCACAGCTATTCGACTTCCGAAATTTGAGACTTCAGCTTCTTTCCCGTGGAAAGAAGCAAGCCACGAAAGCGACATTTCGGCACGGGAAGATCAGCGTTGCCCGATTTGAAAACTAATTAGAACAGGAGCAGAATTTTTACAAGAATAGTATAATGTCTGTCGAGTTCCAAGGATTCTCTCCCTTATTTGAGCCTCCGTCGTACACAAAGATGTCTTATCCTACTGCTATCTGGGGATTGCATGAAAAGCAAACATACCACATGCGATATTACACCGGTGAACGAATAAAAAACTGTGGACTGCTCAAATTTCGTCTGATTCTCCAACCTCGTCATAAGCGCATTGTATGAGTTCGCAGAAATTCAACGAAGCTTCAAGACATATAAAAAGTCACCATTAAACAAATGGCGTCAGATGACGTCAGATGGAGTCATTCGAATATTTACTCACTTAGAATATTTGCTCACTTATCAAGTGACTCGAAAAACCAAGGTTATGAAAATTTAGACTGGATAGCGATGGCATCAAGACCTTTGTCAAGAAATTCGGTCTCGTTCATTTGCAGATTGTCGTTGGTCACAGTTATTGAAAAATTTGATCAGTTTATGCTGTCCCAGTAGTTGATATGAATTTTACGAGCCGCAGATGAAGCATAAGGAGTACTTTTTTCGCTTTTTTTATAACGGAAAATGACGAACCTACATGAAATAAACCACTTTCTTGCAACAAAAAGATTTGCATGGTAATTTTTGGAAAAAAAGAGAGGCACCCCTTAACGGTACTACAGATTAATGGGATTCAATACCCTTCTTCTTCCTTAACATCAAAACCAACAGAACATGTTATCGACGGTAAAACACATGATATTTGCTTTTTTTCCTAATGGGTGTAGACGTGCTAATTTTGACCGAAAACTTTCTTTTAGAAAGACTATAATCCGAAATGATTTTGAAAAAATGATGATTCGGATTCAGAACTTCTGCACCAAAGCCGAAGAATGTTCATAGTAAGTTGAATTGTTGAAAATGTCAGTTGATAAATGCCATTGACACTGTCAGCATGTTACGCTTAGAATACGGTGAGTTTGCTGTCCACGAAAAATATCATTCATTACATTTCGGTTCATTTTCTTGACGCCCTTCTTGTCAAACGTGAAGGTTAATTTGTCAGATTTGTAAAATATGACGCGCAATATGCTCATTGCGTGCAATTACACAATTGAAAAAACCGCTACGTACATTCACTGAAACTGCTAAATCAACCTATTGCCCCAGCTGTCAATCATTATTTGTTGCATTTCGGCGCAACCAGATAATTACTACATGCACAGAAAAAGGAACATTGTCAAAATGACTGATTATCTGAGCTGTGACTGGTACGACATGGCCCGAAAAGTGAATCGACTACGATATTCAGGAAATTCTGCAGATAAGGGTTTCGTTGAATTACGAACTCATTTGCGATCAATTTTTTCGGAAAAGGCATGAGCAAACAGCTATGTAAGGACGTTCTGCAAGTAAGTGGATGAAGAACACGTGCAGAAAAATGACAAATGAAGAAAAATTGAAAACAGATAAAATTAAGTGACAGATAAAGCAAAGAAATAGGACAACGTTTCAATAAAAACTAGCAAAGAGAAGTTGATTCGAAAATCAGATATTCAAGCGAAAATAAAAATTAAACAGACAAAATAATGACAGCTGATTCACTAAAAATGGAATATTAGTCGTTACCGTTGAATACTGACCGAAACATGGATTAAATATTGACGGAAGTATCAAACAAGGAAGATTCAAAGCGAATTTCACCATTTATGAATGCAAATTTCTAAACAGTTTCCATCGTTTTTTACTTTCCCTCTAGATCTCACTTCACAATTCTGGTTCGCAGACCAGAGGTAGAAAACTCGCTGATTTTCCCTCCAAAAAAGCGCTTATTCATGACTTATCTAGTCTAGGCCTCAGTCCGGATTAGCTCAGTAACCCCTCCATAGCAAGATTATTCATCCCATCGCTGAATTGCTGTCAAATTTACACACTTGTTTACTTTGCCCCTCATAACAGCATGTTAAAGCCGCTGTTTACTTTAGGACTTCTCCATTGGTCCCTGTTGATGCATGACTACACACTGATTCGTCCATGCAAAACAAATGCAAGACGAAGTGTTTTACCAATTGATGGCTTTCTGGATTGACAATATTCACGCAATGTGTCTTCAGACTGATTGAGTATTTTGATTACTAAAGAGGTGAGGCAGCGAAATGGAACAGAGTTCTAATCTTTTGCCAACCTACCCTCCCCTCATCCTTCCGAAAAGCTGTAAAGTTTTCGAAAGTAGCCTAGACAAATTATCAAATTGTGCAGATGACTTGTTTTTACTTGCCTTGGGACAAATAAGCTTAGGGAAAAATATTTCCAAGGCGTAGTTGCTTGGACCACAATCTGAAAGAATCTCAAAAGACTTTCCGGACGGCGTGACCAGCGCAACGCTTTACATTCGAGAAGAAATTTTCGTCACCGTCCACCATCCCCCCCCCCTAAAACTTGTTCGGACATCCACTGCTAGGATCGTTCCAATAGTGAAATCTACGGATCTGTTTCTGGGCACATTAACTTTAGAACAGCAAACTTGATGGCTATAAACAGCATTTTTTTACCCTTTTATTTATCCATGTATAAAGTCTAAGGGCGCAAAGACTAAAATTTCGTTTCTGCTCTATTCCCCCTACTGAACAGACTCCATTGTCTCGATGCCATATCCCATTACACCTTCTCAGCTCTAAAATTCACAAAATTCTTGGACAGAAAAGGATTACAGAAGAGGGAGGAAGGGAAGATTAGCCGCGTCATGGCATCTAAGAAAGGATGCCGTCATTCACGCTTCTTTCGAGAATGCCGTCATTCAAGCTTTTAAGTTCCAAATGCCGAAATCTTGTGCTGATCGAGGATGTGACATTAGCCAGTAACCAACAAAAAAATTTTATGCAAGGCTAGCTTTCAAAATTCAAAGGCAGATGTCCCGGAAAATTTCGTTTTCCAGTTCTTCACCTTTTCGAAGCCTTCTCGTCATGAGAAGTCCATGAACGGGCTTTTTAGCGCGAAAATGGCAAAAATGAGCTTTTTCCAAAGCTTTCCAAGCCCGCAATCGGTGGAGAATACGTGCAAGTGGCGGGGTCCGGAATGAAGGATGCACGGTGTCACTGAATGCGGTCCTGACAAGCTTTGAAAAGGCTCATTCTCGCCATTTTAATGCGCTAAAAAGCCCATATATGGATTTCTCATGACGAGAAGGCTCAAAAAGGTGAAAAACTGGAGAGCGAAATTTTGGACGCTGCCTTCAAAGAACAGGCATGGAAGTATGGGTTCGTAACGCAGTTCGTATACGCGCAAAGCTCGATTACTTACTTAATAATATATCTATATATTTTTACTTATCTATTTACTTGATGCAATCGCCAATTACAGGGTAGACTATATGTCGCCGAAAGTGGGAGGGTCCCGCGCGGACATTGCAGCAGATACTCAGCCTGTGCATGTATTGGAATGGGGTGGGGGAACAAAGCCGCCAGGTCCAGCCGCCTTTCGCGGCCAGCTGGTCCTTTCGCAGCGTTGTTGCATGTCGTTCCAGGACCAGCAGTCCGCGGAGGCGGCTGGACCTGGCGGCTTTCGTTCCCCCACCCATTGGAATGTGTACCTGTTGCAAACGGCGAGACCTTCCACTTTCGGCACATATAGTCCCCCACTTTCAATTACACAAAGCCCCCACTGTGTCAGAACTAAATAACTTGCTTCACAGTTTGATAGATTGGTGGTCATGTGAAAGCCAGAGAATAAGGCCAATGAGTAGAGAGCAGACATTGTCCTGTCGAGATACAGTGAAGTTGCCTGCTTTCTCTCTCCCCCCCCCCCTCTCCTCCCCAACTATTCTCCTGGTGTCCGTAGCCGTTTCAGAAATGTTTTAGTGTGAGATAAACCGCTTCAAACTATATCAGACAGCAGAAAATAGTGCTTTCGAACTATTTGTTTCCGACCGCACTAATATAATCGTACGAAAGTGTGAGGACTCGACGCGCATGCCGCGCTAAATTTATGACCGTCGTCAAGCGCATTTCCCGTGGTCGCACAGAGTGGTGGCCGAGCGCGGGCGCATCCATCTCGGCGCGCTTGCAACAACGACGCGACAATCGGCTTTGATTTGCAAAGCGGGCAGGCGTCAGCCGATGACGGCACCGCCGTGACACCTCGCCGCTCGCTTTATGGCCGCTGATTCGTAGTGATAGCCGAGAAGAGCAGCGCTCACACATTATAGAACAACAATCGGAGGACTTCCCGCGACATACGATCATAAAGTGAGCTTCTGAGCATGAAAATTGCAAAAATTTCGCAAGTCGAGCTCTGCGAGGAAAAGATTATGAGATACCCCGAAGAAAGTTTTACATGGTAAGTGTGGCTACCAATGTATGTAACCTTTGATTCACTTGGCCTGGCGCCTGGAAGGCGGGGCTTTGTGACCTAATTAAGGCCGCTCGCGCCCGCGACGCAGTTTATGTCTCTTTCGCGCGCCTGCTCTCCCTTGAATAGCTCACGCCGCCAAGCCAGTTGCATCAAAGGGTAAGCCCCACGCCCCTTTTTTACTATTAGAGGTTAAAGGCCTGCAAAAATCTCAAAAAGCATCTCAAGATACTTTGGTGAGTGCGTGGCAATTTGAGAGAAATTTTTGCTCCCCCCCCCCCCCCTCCTGGACGGAAATCCTGCGACCGCCATTTGTATGAAATACCTCGCGCTGACAACACATGTGACCATAGAACGTGCAGTACAAAATTCTGTCTTCTACGGCCATTTATCACTCGCAAATGTTGTCGACAATGCAGAGCAGTATAATTGTCGTCAAATGCCACTAGATCGAGATGGTAAATGTGACAGAACACGGATCTGCGATACAATTCAAACAAAATAAGGGACTTAGAGCGTATTTCTTCTACCTAACTAACGCTCTAGGTATATACAGCTAGATTACTTAGTCATTGGAGGTAACATATAGAAAAGAGATGCAACAAATTTTTGGAAAAATCAAAAACGTCTTCCCGAAAAAACAGATAGACAAATAACTAGATTGGAAAGCCAGTACAAAAATACTGTTTGCATCTATTACAGAACATGATTGCTCTTACGATAATGAATTGATCTGATAATGATTTGCAGTTTCAGCTACAAGATTTTTTTTTCACCTATATTATTTCATCCCTTGAGATTTTGAAGCGATGAAATTCTCTGATTATCGTTGCAACAACGAGATGATCACAATGCTTTCGATGTTCACTTCCTCCCACAAAAATTCCCCCTGCAAACTCGCTGCTGCAAATGCTGCGAATTAAGATGCGCTGCAAATATTTGATTTCACACTTCAGTTCATCTCTTGAGCAAAGAGTCAGTAAAAAACAAACGTTGTCAAGCTGGACAAAAAACTTTGAAGAGAAAAGCAGAAAATTTTTGCAAACGGGCATGATTCGCTGTTTTGCTCAAATCAAAGTTTCTGTTCACAGACCAAAATTAAGCTTAAAAAGGCAAAACTCATCACATTTTGCTCTGCACAGAATTCCTGCGATTTGAAAGCAAATGGATTTCAGCCGCTATGAAAAAAACTGGAACCTATTGTGCAATCGAGTAAAACGAGATCTGGTGACTATTTTGGTTTAAACTTCTAGATTTATCCCACGCTGCGCTGGCTACAAAAGTCAAAATAGGGCATGAAATTGGTAAAATACTATGACTTCATAGGAGAAGCACAACTGAAGCACAAACTGATACCAGTCCAGGTCAAGTTCAACGTTGAGAAGAAATCTTTAGAGGTCAAAATATCCTTCTAGTTGTGGTATAAGCTTTTTACGTCTATGAACAGATAAAGCTGAATTCACGTTTTTGTTCAAAAAGTTTAAATGAAAATGATCCTTTTACGACTGTGATTTATGTACATTTATGAAAATGATAATTGATGGATGTAACTGGCGATAGTCGTAACGAACGAAAAAACGGAAGAAAAAGAGCGAGTTGCGATTGAGCTGACTCACCTCGAAGATGTTTGCACTTGTATTCTTCATACTCTCGCATGGCCGCCGGGTCAGTGAGTTTCCACCGTTCGCACTCCTCCAAACTGCCGTTCATCATGCCTAGGCCGAAGTACGAGTCGGAGCCACAGCTACCGACCGGAATGTCGCTGAACGGGGATATAGATTTCATTTTGGAATGAGAAATCCACGAACTAAATGGCTACATGGGGCCCTGCGCGGAAAAAAGCAACTTCTGCCGGCAACAAGTGCACGTTCACTATGACTATGAAGCGCACTTTCAATTTTGCGATCCATGGCCATTATTTACGCGCAGTTGTTGTCGTCATCGCAGAAGCACTTCAACAATATAACATGTATGGTAGGTCAACATGGTATGTGTGCGATGCTGCGCGGAAAAATTCCAACGCTTACAGACAACATTTTATCGTGAAAGATGGCGATGGATGGCGCATTCCCAACTTTTGCGCAGCATGCCATTTTTACGCGCAAATGTTGTCTTCACCGCAGAAACATTATGGTGCTATAACATATACGATACGGTTTACATAGTGTCCTGCGGTCTAGCGTAAAGTTGTATTGTAATGCTGACAACAATTCTGCGTGAAAATGACCATGGAGCGCGCAGGGGCTTTGGTTCCACTGCCAATTCTTACGCGCAAGTGTTGTCGTCACCGCAGGAACACGCAACTATATTACCCTATGCTGCTAAGTAGAACTGTACCTGATTTTGACGAGGAACGCGCCGGTGCTATCCTTCTGCTTCGGCCTTTCTGCCATAACAAACACCACTAAAGCTGCGTGCAACACCGCCAATGTCCTCATTTCGATGGTCTGGAAATTTTCAATAGACTAAAAGTGGAGAAAAATTCGGAACATGGCGACGACATGGGGAAAGAGACAATAAAAGCGGCTAGAACCTTAAAAAAGCCTACTAAATGTCCGTCTATTCTGTTTAGAGACATGCAAGTTCTAGAAAAAACCAAATCAATAGTCCTTCTATTTCTTATAGTAAGCTAAGCGATCTTGGAGAAATAGCTACGAGTGACTGAATAACTTGCAAAAAACACCGAAGGTGAGATGTTTTTCAGTCTAATCGAGTCTCAACTCAGACTCATCAATCTCGAATGCAGCTATGAAGCATTTTTCTCCTCTAAAAGTGAGAAGAAGATGGACGGTTTGATCTGACATTAATGCACAGCGATATCGGTGAGTGAAGGACGCATTTCTGCGAGAAAAAAAGAAAAAAAGCAAACACAAACCTATAGCGGAAGAGATGCAAGGAAAAGTAAATAATGCAGAAACATCATAGTATTACATCATCAATAAGCCATATTTTCAAAACCAGAACTATCATCTCTCAACTGGATGATAAAAAAGAAGAACAAAAAGAAGGATGAGTACTGAAAGATAAGGGACAACCTCGATTTGCTAAATAACCTGAATCGTTATTCGTCTGAAGCTTTTTCCTAAGTCTGGAGCAACTCGGGTATAAATAAATGCTCGAGACAAAGATATTTTGATAAAGAGCTATTTTAGAGAAATTTTAGAGCTCCGTAAAGGAAAAGATGTATTGGTAAGAAATACCCAAAAAATTACCTTCTGGTTCAAAACCCAATAAAGTATCGCTGAAGCTCTATAGGTTTCTTGGTTATCTTGCTATTTTGATCTGCCTCGCTGTTTTTAACCCTACCAAATGAGCAATGAGTATTTCGCCAGAAGATTAATAACATCCCGAATAGGACTTGGGTAGATGAGGATCGATAAGCATAAAAGGAAATGTGGCCTTTTTTCAAGCAGTTTTTTTTTTTCAGTGTTCAGCCCATATAACTAGAATTGAGCGCTGGAAGTGGATTTTTTTCCATAGCGGAAACGTTTCGAAGAGATGTACTTGCAGAAGTTTTTGTTGACATTTTTATTCTAAGCTTCTTTGTTAGAATATGGGGAACTGATGAACGAAAGAGGAAAAAAAATATTCGCTGAGCGAAGTGAATGGTTTTCACGAGCACACACTTCGTTTGAAGGATGTGAAAATAAATTCGGAAGCCTTTTCATTGAAATAGGAGTTCCAAGCAGGGCATAAAGGGGGAAACGAACTAAGATATCTCAGAATTTTCAATTTCCTCTCTAGTTGCAGTTATGTAAATTCAATGCAAATAAAAAGAAAGTATAATCCAAATATTAATATATAAAGTATGATTCGAAAAATGGACGAATAATTGGATAATTTAAAACAGCTTCTTATTACTTTCTCAACGATTTGTTCTAAACAAAATTTATAGAAATCTGAATAGGTGAGAAGATTCTTCGCCCATCATCCTGTCTGCTCAATTTCCTCTTCTTGTTAATAATCTTTTAGAATAAACTAGAATTAGAAAAATAGAGCAGATCACTGCTAACATTAATTTTTTAAATCCTCTTGATCTACTGTTTGAAACTTTGTAAATTATATCTCTGCCTGGATTACAGATTTTCTAGAATCATAAAACACGAAATCCAAAAAACATGGAAAAACTTCCATTGGCGACAAAGCTCAATTTTATGATCAATTTGACGTTTCTAGAAAAATAGTTTTTTTTCTAATATTCTTCAGTACTGCTGTGCCAGACAGGTTTGGTAGGTGTTCTTTATTCCAATCAAGGCCTAACGTTTCGACGCCTTTCGTCTTCCTCAGAGGCCTGAAAATGGCTCAAAGCGTCATCTGTGAAAAGAGGCCATCAAGCACCATCCTCATTCCTGCTAGTTCTCGATCTTCGCTCAACATCCCTACCGCAAAAATTGTCAGCGCCAGAAAATGAACATACCGTTGAGAACACCGCTATGTCAGTTTCCGCACCGGAAGTGATGGTCTTGGCGGAAGGACTAAACTATACTATAAATGCACATAGCATGTGATCTATAGATTGCATATCGATAAGAATGGAAGGAAGTCGTTGGTAACTGACAAACATTCATTCTTATTGTTCATTGCTGGATTCTTTGAAGAGATCCAGAATGCTTCCAGCGCCTTCCTAGCCGAGGTTTCCTTCTCATAGGTTAAGATTTCGCACTTTATATCGAAATCGGCTCCACCATGCGCTTCGTTCCTATGCCTGCCCAACGGTGATAACAGGGTTTTACGCCTTTTATCTGCCAGATGTTCGTTTATGCGAGTACTAAGTGATCTTCCAGTTTCGCCAATATAGAGAGCATTGCAGCTAGGGCATTTCAATTGATAAACCACTCCCGCTTGTGCACAGTCACCTATTCTACCGTACGGACAGACTACGCATCTTTCTGTTATACAGTATCGATCGTAAAGTCTGTTTCGAACTAACTGCTTTTTGATATTGTCGTTTGGGATGTTCACTAAGACAACATCGTCTTGCAGTTGTGCGCGTATAATGCACTTTCGAAAAGCCGCACTGATGTTATCGGAAATAAATGGCAGGCACAGTGGGAGCTTATTATCACGAATGCGGTCACCATTTGCGTGATGTTGGATACGCGGTAGACAGTGGTAACCATTGCTGCAAGCAATCTGAGAGGCTAAACTTCGTGACTCGCATCGTTCTCTTTCTCCGGAGCACATCTGCATAGCTGTTTTGAACATATTCCCGATCACTGCTCGTTTCGTAGATGCAGGATGCGCCGATCTTACATTGATAAGGATGTTCTTTGAGCTTTCCTTGCGGTACCACTTCATGCTAACAATGCCATTGGACAATTTGACCTGTGCGTTGAGGTAGGGGAGCCATCCGTCGTGCGGTATCTCTCGTGTAAGCTTTATGTACTGCGACTGCTGGTTGAGAATTTCGAAACACTTGTCCATTTCGGACTGAGTGGACGTAAATATGCAGCAGTCATCGATGTAACGGCAGTACATCAGCGGCATGCGGGCTAGCACCGGTTCCTCGATTTTACTCATAAAGCAAATGGCGAGGACAGGGGCTAGCCTCTGACCCATAGCCAATCCGCGTATCTGGGAGTAGTACGTCCCAGACCATCTGAAGATGTTACATTTCAAGCATTCGCTCACTAGGGTCATCGTCCGCCTTTTGCCAAGCCCAAAAGTATTGATGGTAGTGGCATATTTATCCAACATCTCTGAGAGCGCTTGCAAAGCTTGGTTGTTCTGCACATTAGTGTAGAGCGAAGTCACATCGAATGACTCGACTACAGTGCTCGAATCAAACTTGGCGCTTCGAAGCTTTTCTATAAAATCACGCGAGCTGGATAAATGTGCTGGTACTTTGGGTAGCAGTTGGCTCACAATTTTGTTCAAGAACCACGAAATTCGATCGGTGGGACCGCCTACGCAACTAATAATCGGTCTAATTTTGTAAGTGTCCGCTGACATTGAACTCATGTCCCGCAAGGAAAGCTTGTGCGTCTTAACAAGGCTATAAAACACTGGACAGCTTGGAGACCTGAGTTTCAACCTGCTTATAAACCTGTCGTCGAGTCCCGCAGATTTAGCTATCGTGGTCCAAGCGTCATTCAACTTTCTATACTGTGATTGAAATTCTTTCGCAGAGACGACTCTATACGTGGTGGTGTCCGCCAGATGAGCTGCTGTTATTCGTCGATCCAACTCTTGAGGAATTACTACGAATTCGCCGCCTTTATCGCTTACAGACAATCGCACCGAACCGTTAGATACGAGTTCACGTATCTCTTTGAAACCCTGCCACTGTCTAGGTGTCAAGTTAGTCTGATGTTGATGTTTCGCTCTATTTAGAACTTCGAGAACACCAGAACATAAGAGACGGAACTTGATGTCTACCTCAGGGACGGGAGCAGGTTGTCTGTAAAACGACTGCGGGAAAGGAATTGAGGGTAGTAAGCTGTTGGCATCGCGAGCTGTTGCTGTTGGACCATCTTTGCATTTGCTGCGTAGTCTGAGAGTGTCTCTGAGTTTGTGCAGGCTTCCTACTATTTTGCGACAAGTCGCGGAGTTGACATTCTGCGCAGGAGAGAAGGAAGGGCCAAGGCTAAGAAGCTCGATGACATTGGAAGATAATGGAATGTTCCCAATCACCGTGACCCTCGATGTAACTTCATTCTGATATGCATGTCCTTGAAAGCGGTGGTCGGTAATGTTATTTCTGTTACATGAACAATTTTTGCAGAGATCAGTCAAGAGTCGATCGTACTTTGCACGGAGTTTGATTTTGATCCTAGATCGAATCGAATCACAGATTAGCTTTGAACCATCCTCAATCCTCCTCCAACGTTCACAAGGCAAGAGACGTTTACAAGCTTGTTCTTTTGCATAACATTTCAACAAGGTAGAATACAACAGTCTCCGTTTTTCTTTTATGATAACATTCAAGATAGCTTGATAAATCTTCACTATCCTCGGATCATCTTCATCGAGAGCGCAAGTGTATCCTAGTCTCTTATCCTTGATGAAAGTGGGCAACACGTTCGTTCTCTTGCAACGTCGGAGGAATATCAAGGATTGGCGAAGAGCTATCGCTTTTTGTCGAAGCGACAGCGTTTCACGTGTCAAGCGGAACATTGTCGGCGGTAAGTCTTCTAATAGTTTAAAAGTTCCACTTTCCTTAAACCTCGGCATCACTAATATTCTTCAGTACTGCTGTGCCAGACAGGTTTGGTAGGTGTTCTTTATTCCAATCAAGGCCTAACGTTTCGACGCCTTTCGTCTTCCTCAGAGGCCTGAAAATGGCTCAAAGCGTCATCTGTGAAAAGAGGCCATCAAGCACCATCCTCATTCCTGCTAGTTCTCGATCTTCGCTCAACATCCCTACCGCAAAAATTGTCAGCGCCAGAAAATGAACATACCGTTGAGAACACCGCTATGTCAGTTTCCGCACCGGAAGTGATGGTCTTGGCGGAAGGACTAAACTA